CAGGCGCTGGACACACGGCTCTAGGTCCCCTTTCTGAGAGGCACTGATTCGACGGGCTCTGCCTTAGGATGGACTCTCCCCTGCAGGACAGAAGGGACACAAGCAGAGAGAGTTCATTTCTGCAGCGCCGGCCCGACCTGCCCTCTCTCGGCTGGCCCCAGGAGATACAGGTGGCCGGCCGCCCTACAGAGGAAGGGGCAAGACTCCCTAGAGGCTGACAGCTGGCCAAGGTTAACAGTCCCAACTGCCAGGGGTGCTTCCAAAGAAAAGAACAGAGGTCTGCTTCTGACGGCCCACAGCCTTGGGAGCCGCGTGAGGCAGGTCAACTCTGCAGCCCCCAAGGTCCCCATGAGGCCCAGCTGACCAGCAGCAGCAGCAGCAGCGGGTGGCAGCAATGGTTCAGAAAACAGCAATGGGCACTCCATTATCCAGCAACCCTGCTACCCAGCATAGGGGGAGGCTTCGAACCGTTCGAGAAAAATGGTCATTGTCCTGTACTTAATTCCACTTCCCCACAAACATCAAAGCCCTGGAACGTCGACGACCGGTTGCGCAGCCCTGGCGCCCTAGCAGCCCCCTGCTGCCCACCACGACCGCAGGACTCCGCGTCAGAGCAGGACACCCAATGTGAAGGACGTTGAGTTGTATGGCCACTCAAATCCCACAACAGACATGGCGCCTTGCTGGGCAGCTCGAGGCAGGCCCAGAACGTGTTGAATAGTCAAGAAAAGGGTCCCTCACCAACGAGAGCTCAATGCTCGAGTGGGAAGCTGACTTACAACAGAGACACCCCCCACGGGGTCTCCGAGGGCCGGCAAACAGAGAGGGATGCCATGATGCAAGTCCCCACACCTGACAGGGGACCCACCTTGTTCCACACAGAAACCACCACGTAAGAAGTGCCCACACCTGAGCAAGGGCCCCACATTCCACGTGACAGCAGTGACTCACCCACCCCATAGGGTTTCCTTCACCTTTAGGGGAGCAGGTGGCTAAGTTGTCTCTCCCTCAAGCTATGGGGTAGGTTCACACTGCTGACCTCTGGTGCAAGTGCTTCGGCGCTCAGCCACCAGGGCCCCTTGCTGTCAGAACCCAAATCCAAACCCAGTGCCCTCGAGTGGGTCCCCAGGGCAGACTGGAAGTGCCCCACAGAGGTTGCGGGGGAGGTAAGTCTCTACAGAAGCAGACCGCCTCCTCTTCGCCCCACGGAGCAGCTGGTGGCTTTGAACCACAGACCTTGTGGTTAGCAACTAGATGCCTAATGCACTATGCCACTGGGGGTGAGTGTCGCCCACCCACTGCCACAGGACCACAGAATGGAGCCAAGAACCAGATGAGAGCGGTCACTGGGGACAGAGAAGGGTGGGGTCTCAGGTAACAGGCAGGAACCAAACTGCCAGACCCAGAGGTCCAGTGAGGCTGGGTGACTGCCTGTCCTCGCTGCTGCTTCTTCCCAAGTCAGAGCTGGGTGGCCAGGGCAAGCTGACTCAGAGAGGGACAGTCAGCTGGTGGCACAGAGAAGCACGTGGCTCCTGGGGGTCTTGTGAGACTGTCACAAGGGGGCTGGCCCCCACGAGACACCTTCTCCCCTGGAGCAGCCCCCGTGGAGGCAAGCTGGGTCCCTGGGAAAAGCGGCCACCTTCTGGGTGTAAACCACACACAGCCAGCTGCCAGGACCCCACACTCGCCCCTCACGACGTGGCCTACGTGGGTGCTGACCACTGGTCCAAGCTAACTGTCAAGTGGTCCCACGTCCCTCTGTCTTTCAGTGTGGTTGGCAGTCACACTGCGTTCATCAAGTGTCACAGGCGACTGGCATGACGTCATCTCTTGACACGCTACAGCCATGCATTTGGTTAAGGGGGGGGGCAGAAGTGACCTCTCAAAGCCTGCGCTGTCTCATTCTCAGATAGCGCACTCCCACGCAGCCTGGCGCACACAGACAACACTGCACACAGGCCGCAGAGGGGACTAACCCCCGAGGGTGGCAGGAGGCTTGAAAAAATAAATAAAACAAAAAACTGTGACACACACTTTTTGCATAAAAACTTGGTACGTGGCGGCCAGGCCCCTGCTAGGTGACAGGCAGACAGCAGGCCCTGGGCAGCCGCGGGCTCACAGTCATGCACTTTGCACTGTCACCACCAGGCAGGGAGGCCTCTGGGGCCCTCTGAGGACTGCCATCACCCCACGTCGACATGGGACAAGTGAGGGAGGTCTGCCCCCCACAGAGTCTGGTCATGGTGCCCCTGCCTGCCAGCGGCCTGCGTGCCCCGGTTTTCAATGGCCCCCTCCTCTGATCGAGCTCACCAGACCTGGGAGGCCACGGGGCTTGCCCATTCTAGGACACTGTAGCCCAATGCCTCAGGAGGCCTAGCAGCCCAGTGGGTTAGCCATTGGGCTTCTCACTGAAGGTCGGTGGTTCAAAGCCACCAGCCATCCCGCAGGAGGAAGTGGGGCTTGTCTGCCCCACTAAAGAGCTTAGGCCTCAGAACTCCCAGAGCAGCCC